CTGCGCTGGCCGGCTCCAGCCGTGCCTTGTCCGCCACCCCACATTTACAGCACAGGAGCTTGAAAAAGTTTAATTTTTCCTCCCACGAGAGGAAAGCACCAGGCGTGGAGATGATAACAGGGCCCCCTGCTCTCCCCCACCGCCGGCCCGGCCTCGAGCCCCGCATCAGAAGTGCCACCTTTATTTTTCCTGATCTTATTTAGAGGTGCAGACCCCCTCCCCGTTTCCTCCCATCCCAGGACCACCCCATCTCCCCTCAGTGCTCCCCCGGCACGGGCGGCTCTGCAGCAGCCCCAGCGCAGCGCCGATCCCGGCTTCTCTAATTGATATTGATTGGCCAAATCGGTCAACTGTCAGCCTGAGTTTCAGGGGACCACTTAGAGAGCAGGAGAGAAATCTGTTTAACAAATTCATTTAGGAATCAGAGATGCCTCCCCCCCACCCCCCCACCCATCTCCTTTCCCCTTTTTATAAATAATTGATCCAGAGCAAAACCAACAACTCTTCCTCCTGGGAAAGCATCCTCAGCCGGAGGGGCTGGGTACCACCTTCCCTCCCAGGGCCCTCCGGCACACCCTTGACTCTGCCATCAATCATTTTTGGAAAGGACAAATGCAGGAGGCTCTGGAGCCATCCCCTCTCTTGGCAGGGAGGGACGTGTCCCCTCTCCCAAATGTTCCCTCCAGCCCAGCCCCGGGGCACGCAAGACCGCCTTTACCTTTGTCGCCCAGGATGCCGTCTATGCTGTGCTTGGCCTTCTTCTCCCCATCTTCCTCCTTCTTGTCACAGTCCTCCTCTTCCTCTTTCTTCCCGAATTTGATGCGTAGCACACGGCTAATCGAACTCACTAAACCTCAGACAGTCAAAGACAAAAAGGCAAGTATAAGCTGCCTGGGAAGGCAAGGTGGGAGCTGGCCGGGAAAGCCCAAGCAGGGGCTGCACACCTTGGGCAGGAGGCCTTGCAGATGCACAAAGGGCATCTGCACCCCCTTTTCCCAGGGGTACCCAGTCCTTTGTGCCCTCTGAAACACCCCTGAGTTCATCCCCACCATTGCACCCAGCTGCCAAGCTGGACATCCAAAGTTGGACGTGCTTGTCACTGTCCCCCTGAGACACCTGGCACGAGCAGCACCCGGTTGTGCGCAACACCCCACGGAGCATTGCAGCTGGTGCAACACCCCAGGGTACGCATCCCCAGGGCTCCCCCCTGATTTGTAACAGGGAAAAGGCCCCCCAATACCCAGCTTTCATCCCAGCCCCAAACAGGACCCTGGGCTTCGATTTAGACCTGGGCCGTGTCCCAGATCCCCCTTTGGGGGGAGATGCACCCTGGGGAGAAGGCTCAGCTCCCCCCAAAACAGAGGGGAACTCTCAGCTGGGACCCGAAGAGCTCGTGCATCCCTGCAGGCCCAATATTGGGATGCAGGGTCGCTTTCCACAGGCACCGGGGATGCCTGGCTCTGCAGCCCCCACTGAGCAAGCAAGTCCCAACAGGGCCACCAGGGTCCCCTTTAGCCCTGGCTTTGGGGTCTGCTTCCATCCATGCCTCTGCACCCAGACACCCCCCCACCCCTCACCCCCCCGGCTTTCGAGGGAATTGGAATAAGTTGGGAAAACTGGTTTGTTTGCCTTTGTTTTTCCAGCAGACCGCAGCAGGGCCAGGGCACACACCCCCCTTGCCTGGTGTTTATTTGCTGCTGTGGGTTTGCTTGGGGTGATTTTGGTTTTTCAGTTGTTTTTTGTTTGGGTTTTTTTTCCCCCTCGCCTATCAAAGCAAGGGCCGAGAGGATGTTTGTAGCCCCTGGAAACATTTTTGGTGGTGACGATCATTATTTCCCCCCATCTTCCAGCGGGTATCGGGGCGTCCTTCTTGCCAAGCTGCCTTCTCACCTGAGGGCACGGTGCTCCGATCGCAGTGCCCGTCCTTCAGGAGCCTGTCTCGTATCTCCCAGCTAAACATCCCGGGGTTTTCCCGTTTGTATTCCTCGATTTTCTTCTCCACGTCGGGAGTCGCAACCTGCTTTTGTGATCAAGGGACACCGGTGCGTGCCCGTGTGTGCAGAGAGAGGGAAGGGGGAGAGAAAAAGCACTTTTAATTGAGAAGAAAAGCTGTTCAGCTCAGTTCAATTCCCCTCGCCTTGACTTTTGGGGCTAAGAATAGGGATTTGAAGGGGGAAAAGGAAGGAAACCAGAACCATAGAATCATTTAGGATGGAAAAGACCTTTAAGAACAACCAAGTCCAGCCAAAATAAAGCTGGGGGAAGGCCCTCCTCTCCCAAATGTTGGCCACCCTAAAAGTAGAGTCTCTGGGGGCCAAGGAGATCAGCCATGATGGGCTTATCCTGCACCCCAGGGGGGAAGGAGGCAGGAAGGGGGTGCAGAAGATGCTTTTTTGGGGGGCATTTATATCCACCCAGCAATTTATTATTCCCTGAAAGACCCCAGCTTGCCTCCTCCCTGCACACTGGGGCCCGAAGCAAATGCTTGAACGCATGCCACTTGTTGCACATGGGGGGAAAAGAAAAAAAAATCACTTTCATTCATTCATAGCTTTCAACTCCGCACCGATTTTTACCCATTGGAGCCTGCAAACTGCAGCTTTTTAAAGCCCCTTCCCCTCCTCTCCCTGCATATCCACCTGACAAAGTTATGCATCTCCAAAGAAATCTTAATTAATTTTTTTTTTTAAACATAAGGAGGGTGGTTCAGCATGGCCCCCGCATTGCACTCACCCTGGGCTTGCTGCCTCCGATGGCTCCGGGACGGATGGAACCCGTCTCCTGGTACCTGCAGAGGATTTTGGAGACGCAACCGTGGGAGACCCGCAACTGCCGGGAGATCACGCAGGGCCGGATCCCGTGGTGAGCCATCTCCACGATTTTGTGGCGGATGTGGTTGGGCAGCGGTCGGCCGTTGATGAACACCCCTCCGAGCTGGTTCACCCTGCCCTGGCCCAGCGGGGTGGAAACTGGAAAAGCAAGGGGGGGGAAAAAAAAAAAAACAAACAAAAAAAACAAAACCCAAAAAATCCACCATGAACAACAGGGGGGAAATGTGAAGAGAGGGAAAAATGCAGCAAAACGGGACACGTCCCTCCCCGCACCTTCAGCTTCTCTCCCGGTACCTGAATTTTTCAAAGAAGGGAGAACCCCCTCGCCCATCGCCCTGGCCTCGGTATTCCCCCACCGCAGGGAAGACTTTTCCCATCGATAGAGGAAAAATAAAAATAACCCCGGACCCGCCAGCCCACCTCGCTGCTCCCTGAGGCGGCCCCTGTGTTTGTGCCTCTCTCAATACATTTTGGGACATTTCACACCTATGTTTTAAATCCCACCCGGCTTTTTAAAGAAGGAAAGACTTAAAACTGCAGAGGCAGAGCCCCCCCAAACCTTCCCATTTCCCCCCCGAAAAGTGCACTCCACTTCTCGCTTCAAATTCCGGAGCTATCTGCTTTCAGACAAACTTTTGGAAATAACCTTTTAAAATGCCCTCGAGGGAATTTTTTGGGGTGGGGATTGTTTTTAAATAAATTTTTTTTTCTCCTTTTTTTGTGTGTGTGTGGTTTCGGCGGGGTTTTGTTAAGCGGTTTTGGCCCATTTCCCCCCCGAAAAGTGCACTCCACTTCTCGCTTCAAATTCCGGAGCTATCTGCTTTCAGACAAACTTTTGGAAATAACCTTTTAAAATGCCCTCGAGGGAATTTTTTGGGGTGGGGATTGTTTTTAAATAAATTTTTTTTTCTCCTTTTTTTGTGTGTGTGTGGTTTCGGCGGGGTTTTGTTAAGCGGTTTTGGGGAGGTGCGGAGCAAGTGCGGATCCCCGGCGCATCCCCGCTCGGAGCAGGGGAGCAGCAGCTCCTTAATTCTTCCCCTTCCCCAATTTGTTTAATATCTCGCAATGTAGATTAATACGATTTCACAGGCTGGAAATTAAAAAAAAAAAAAAAAAAAAAAAAGGGGGGGGGGGGGGGGAGAGAACTCAGGTGGGTAATTTTCAGAAAGGCTGGAGGGGGCAAGGGATGGGGAAGGCGAAGGGGGGGGATTTTGTTCTTTATACAAAGAAAAGTCGATTCCAGACATTGCCTCACGATTTAACAAGAATCATGCACCACTAATTCCAAGTCACTTGGCCAGCACTCCCTGGATATATCATTATCGACAGATAACACTCGAGTGGCCAATTTTACATTCAAGAGGTCCTAAAACCGCCGGCCGCTCTCTCTTTTCATTATTCCCAGTCATGTTGTGCAAATATTGTTGTAATCCTTTGATCCTTTCCCTTGCCGTCTGTTTTACTTCATTTGCTACAGAAAAGCACTTCAGCAAATCCCCCCAGCCTGTGTGTTTTGCAGCCTGCGTGGTTTTCCACCGCTTTGAGTTTCGCCACTTGATCACGGGCAGGATGAAATTTTCCCGTTTAATAAATGCGGGGAGAAGGGTCCCGCTCTCATTTTGCTCCCCCCCCCCCCTTTTTTTTTTTTTTTCTCTTTTTTTTCTCTAGCCGCCCTCTTTTTTCCCCCCCCCCCCCCTTTTTTTTTTTGTGTCCGTCTGTCTGTCTAGAAATAACCACCCCATAACACAAAGAAAGAGCAGATGATGGGGAGAGCCGAGGTGGGGATGACACTGAGCGAGGTGACAGCGACAAAGTCCCCGTCCCCTCGCCAGCCCCGGCCAAGGGCACCTCGCTTGCCCGCAGTCGGAGGATGCTCCTAGGTTCGGGTTGCTTTTATTCCCGCCCCCACCCCCCGCGAAAAAAAGTGGAAAACAATCAATTTGCTTGGTTTTCCCCAGATTTTCGGGGAGATGAAATTGTCGGGACATTTGCGGGTCTAAAAAAAACCCAACCAAAAAACCCAAAAAGATGCAAACCACGGAACCTGTCCCCCCCAAAAAAAATCTGCGGGATGCGTGAAACTACTTTAAATGGGGGGGGCGAGGGGGGATTATAAATGAGCCGAAGCCCCGTAATTTCG